AATCTACCTTAACCAAAATCAAGGTAGACTATCACTCACCCACACCAGATGGAAAACTCTACAGACTGTCGGTTCACACCCCATCACAAGCAACAAGCAAGCAAAACATCCACGAAACAAAGAAAGCTCTGTCACAGCCAAAAAATACACTCCAGACACGCTGCTGGCACTAGAGGCACAGCATGGCCGCCTAGTAACGGCCCCGACCACTGCCGCTCGACCTGACCGGAAAAAACCGTAGCAGGAATATACATATATACATATATATATCGTCAAACAGAGCTGCCCGGTAAACCGTGGGCAGAGAGAGAGAAGAGGACAACAAACTGTTTCGTCGAAGTTTCACTCGACTCATATATATGTCTTCCTCAGTTCATCATATAGATGAACTGCATCAATAGTCCTCTGTTCTGATGTCTAATCACATATCGATTGTAAGTGTAGGAAGAATGAATCTGCCAGGCTTTGAGGTCACATTCCATCGCTGCAAAACATATACATCTTTTATCGGCCCAACCGTTCGGACGTTCGGGTTCGGCCGTTCGACCACGGCCGAACGCCGGCTACCATATACATATATATAGATATAGATATAGATATCGTCACATGAACATCAGAGCGCGAAGGCGAAAAAAACAAAAAGAAACAAAAACGATATCAATTCATTTTTGATCTTCTTCCTTATAGATAGATAGATAGATAGATAGATAGACAAGGCCGCCCACGTGGATGTAGGTTGAGCGGCGGCTGCCGCCACCCCCGTGTGTCAAATCGACACACTTGCACACAGCCAAAGGGCAAAGAGGCAAAGAAAAGAGGAAGAGAACAGCCAAATACAATAAAACAGGGGCCAACAAGCAACACCACCAAAAACGGATCCCCAGTAATCCGTAGGCAGAGAGAATATACATATACAAATATATACATGTATATTCATATATCTACATATACACATACATACATAGACACAGAACCATACGAGCTGGTAGCATAGCATGATCCCAAACTTGAAGCTGCAAAGTTCCAGCCCCATTACTTCGCAAAAACCGACAAACAAGAAACTCCAACAAAGAAAAACAAAGAGAGCGATCAAGCGAACTTTTCAAGGAATTGAACGAATTTCACACGGAATCTGCAGACAGTGGAGAGATGTTGACAAACAGAAGTACCTCCTGTAAGCAATTTGATACTCGCGAATGTGGGCAAAAATGAAAAAAAGTACTCACCAGAGTGGAGCTGAAATTTTGCCCGATAATATAGGCTTTGTTTGACCGCTCATCAAGAATACATGACGTCAAATTTGCCCCTCCGAAAGATGCGGCCTGAATGGACGTAAGCGGTTGAGGTTGGTAAGGATTCGATCCGTTCAGGACGACAACCCCCGACTGTCGGAACACTGTGACAATCGTTTTCGTGGAATTGACGTAAAGCACGCAGGTGGGAGAGCCGGCCCACTGTCCTACAAAGCCGCCGAGGGAGACCTTACCCTTCATCTCCAGTTGCAAGCCTGCACTCAATCGAGCAACACAAATCCAACACGCCCAGCATCAGCTGTCATGAATCTCTCTCTCTCTCTCTCTCTCTCTCTCTCTCTCTCTCTCTCTCTCTCTCTCTCTCTCTGTGTGTGTGTGTGTGTGTGTGTGTGTGTGTGTGTGTGTGTGNGTGTGTGTGTGTGTGTGTGTGTGTGCGCGCGCGGAAGATGCAAATATACAGAACAAACTAGCACGAGCAGCATGACAAGGGGATAAGATTGGCAGTTATGAAGAGTAACCCGCACGAATAGTATGACTAGGCAACGAGATTGGCAGTTCTGCATTACAAAAAATCTCTCTCTCTCTCTCTCTCTCTCTCTCTCTCTCTCTCTCTCTCTCTCTCTCTCTCTGTGTGTGTGTGTGTGTGTGTGTGTGTGTGTGTGTGTGCGGAAGATGCAAACATACAGAACAAACTAGCCCGAGCAGCATGACAAGGGGATAAGATTGGCAGTTATGAAGAGTACAAACACTCCATCGGCAGTATATCGCCTACGAGGGGAGGAAATCCAGAAGCGTTAGCGGAACGCACCATTGTAGTCGATCGAATAGAGGACTGGGCTGTACCACGCTTCGGTGGCTCCCACATGGACAACCCCAGAAGTTATATCAACAGCGAACTCCTTCGCATTTTCGTATGATTGCGCCGAGGAGTTGCACACGAAAACCTGCAGCAGGGAGGACAAAATACCATAACCAATCACTAATCAGGTAAGCAACTATTCCAACTTCTCACCACTGCGCATTGCAAAAACAAATAACTACCAATCCCTGCATCTGGTAACCGCAACGGGAAAAAAATCAAAACTTAAATAAATATCTAATGTAGAAATTTTAATGGAATAAATCTGATTCTATTCTATGAAATAAATAATATATAATATCTCTAATTAAATAGTATAGAATAATAATTTATTATAGAAATATGCACCCGCTTCCAGACTTACTCACCCGTGTACCTTTTAAAGAGTGCAGCTGACAATTTTTCAAAGAGAATCGATTCAAAAGTCGCAAATCGTTTATTAAATTATTCAGAAACGACAATGCAAGGACAGACACGAATGACCAAAAAAAGGATCAAACGTTTAAAGCAATTTCGAAGCATTCAATATAAATAAAAAGTGCCCAACCTTTTATTTTCGAGAGAAGAAAAAACATATATTCACACGGTTAATAATTGGTTGGTAATTTGGTAGTCTCCCACAGTCGGGAGAGGCCCTGCAACTACCGGGCATTCTCGTCTGCCATGCAGAAAATAAACGTGGCAGCTTATCACATCTGTGACTTACGCCTACCATCGCCGCGCCGCGACGTGTTCCTCGAACATACGATTATGCGTTATATTCAAATTTTTGAAATTTTCGAGAATTCGAATAGAACGCATGTGCGTAATATTCGAAAATAAGGGCTCTTCGAATAGAACGCACACTCGTTATATTCAAATGGAACGCGACCTACGCGGTGTATTCGTTGACAGCGAATATGCGTTACGTTCGGGGGACGAAGATAGCGTCTTCACCGGAATAAAACGGCCGGTCATTATCGCTGCATCTGGATTGAAAGTTGTGCCAAATACATCTATAATGACCGGGCGGCTATTCGGGTGAAGACGGTACCGTCTTCCTCGAACACAATGCACCGTTAGATTTTTTTATTTTTTTATTTTTTTATTATTTTTTTACACAAAAACAAGCTCCATCTATTGGTGGGGAGCAGCACCTGCTGGATCCAACCATAGATACAACCATATCTTCACAAATTGGATTTACACATATCGGACCAAAAAGATGGAGGGTGTGTTGAATTGTGTGCTGGGGAAGAGGGTTAAACTTCCACAGATCACACCTGGAAACAACCGCCCTCAGACTCCACATACTGCAAAACTCAGAACACTGCTCTCAAGGTAGAAAATCGAAGGACCGAACTAGGAAAAAAATATATATATATAGTAATATAGTCATATATATCGTATATATCGTCAAATAGAGCTGCCCGGTAAACCGTAGGCAGAGAGGGAGAAGAGGACAACAAACGAGGGGAAAAATATATATTGTCACAATGGAAATCAGAGCGCAAAGGCGGAAAAAGACAACAAAAAAAGAAAAAGAAATAAAAGGAAAGCCCCACCTGTTCATCACCTCTTACGTACAAGGCCAGCCTATATATATGTCTATATTTATGTCTATATATATATATCGTCACAAACAGAACTGCCCGGTAATATATAGGTTAATGAATTCGAGCTCACCGTCGATTAAGTGGAATACAGAAAACATAAAGGGAAAGGAAACACATACGGATAAGAAAGGTGAACAACAGAAAACAAGATGATAAAAATTCCGTTTGATCACGATATTCATATACGTAAGTTATAGTCTCACACGAGCGATGAAGGATTCCTACTGCTCAATGTCCGCGTTTTCTGAGTATAGTGCATGCGCACGTGTAATGCTTGTTCATTGGAAGCATGCATGAAGAGCATTGTTTGACATCTCTTGTGTCACTCAAGTATGACTTTTGTTGTGTCACTCCCAAGTATGCTCAAACGACACATACGCATAAGACTAGAGGACGACACAAAGAAAAAGATGAGAAAAATCCCCCTTTCATAACGATATTCACACACCTAAGTCAGTCTCAGCCGAGCGACGACGCATCCATACTGCTCAATGTGCGCGTTTTCTGAGTATAGTGCATACGCAAGCGTAATGCTTGCATCCATACTGCTCAATGAGCGCGTTTTCTGAGTATAGTGAATACGCAAGTGTAATGCTTGTGCATTGGAAGGATGCACGAAGAGCAGTGTTTGTGTTTGGCCTCTGTTCTATCACTCAAGAATATGCTCAAACAATACATACGGATAAGATTAGAGAAGTCAAAACAACACCAAAAAAAAAAAACCGAAGACAACATAAAAAGAAAAATGAAACACATTTCGACTTTGGTCTAAGACATCGGTGCCAATGGAATTACACGAGCAGAACAGGAAACTGAAGGGCTACAAAACATACATTTTATAAAATCGTAAATTCCTCTAACTTTATCAATACTTCTTTTAATTTCTAAAAAGAATATTGAGAAATCGCCGCCGGGAAACTTTTAAAAAAAGCATTTCTTAGAAAAAATAAGCATTTCTTAGAAAAAAAAAAAGCAGCAAGAGAAATTGGCCACGATAAGGTGGGAGAGAGAAATCTCAGGAGAAAAAAAAAACAAATCGTATTACTACGGTTCGTACACACAGCTAGATGTAGGGATCGACAATCAGTGATGACGTCATCATCTTTTCCGGGCAACGCAGCAATTCAATTCAACATTCACCAAGTCAAGCCATCTTCAAGACAAAAAAAAAAGAAAAAGAGAAAGAAAAAAAAAAAAACCATCTTCAAGACTTTTTTCAAGATAATACTTTGTAATACTAACAAGTTCTCTCTAAGCTATAGAAAATAGAAACATAGAAATGGTATAATCTATTTACGCACATTCAGATAGAAAATTTTCTTAATTTCCCTTAACCTCACACCTTTTTTTTTTTTTTTTTCATATCCCCAGGCCAAGCCATCTTCAAGACTTCTTCAAGATAATACACCTTTTTGAAAAATATAATACATCATCTCGTAAGGTAAAGAAAATAAAAAAAGGTTTAATCCATTTACGCACACTCATATAGAAATATTTCTTAATTTCTCTAACACACCTCGTACAGAATTGCACCTTTTTTTTTTTTTTTGGCGTCAACTTATCACCAACTACCATAACAACCGTGTCCTTCTCCAAACAAACAAACAAAAAAAAAAAAAACAAAAAAACAAAAAAAAAAAAAAAAAACCGGTACGCACTGCTGTCGCTTCCACACTCACTGCAGTCCTGACGGACACTCCGACCACAAGTACGTGAAATTTGCTTCAAAAGATTTTTTCCAAGGATGGGCAGGGTCTCAAAGGGGGCACAAATCTTGAACCAAAAAAGAAAAAAAAAACGATAGGTGGGGTCTCAAAAGGGGTATGAACCTTGAACCAAAAAAAAAAAAAAAATAGAGATCACGACAAGTCCAGCACAACAATATACTACTACTGCGTCTCTAAATTTGGAAGTAACAAGGTGAAAAACAAACGAGATAATACGTAAACACTAAAAAAATAAGATTTTTTTATAAAAAGACTATGTACATTCTCCTTCTCCTTGTATCAGACCATATACAGAAAAAAAAAAACATTGACAATCATATGGCTATTTGCCACGTCATTCATGCACGTGTCGCCAACCAATCAATTGAGATCACACTGCTTAGCTTACGGCATTTGCACGACGTCATCTCCATGAGTCGCAACTCACCTATGTTCTCCACCAATCATGCCCGCATATGTGGCGTTCATGTACAGCACAATTTTCATGTTGCACCCAACAAAAAAAAAAGCAGAAAACAGAGGAAAAAAAAGACACTTAAAAAAACACACGTTCCCCTAGTCATCCTCTTATGTGGCGTTCATTTACAGCACGATTTTCATGTTGCACCCAAAAAAAAAAAAAAAAAAGAAGTAGAAAACAGAGGGAAAAAAGACACTAAAAAAACACACGTTCCCCTGTTGCACCCAACAACAAAAAAAGAGTACAAAACAAACACACGTTCCCCTAGTCATCCTCATTATCATCATCATACACCTACACACCCTGCGCTGAAGGATTTTAGTTCCATCCCGCCCGAACCTATTGACCGCTAGGCATAATACAGAGCCGCTTCCATGAGCTTGGATTTCGTAAACGCGGCAGCAATAGCAAAACAAGACAGCAAGAACTCGCAGGAATACAACTTAAATACAATGTACATGATTAAAGTCATCGTCATTTATGCTTCTTACTTTAGGTTGGTCAACAACTGCTCATAAAATCCAAAAAAAGATTCAAAAAATAAACAAAATACCTCTCTCTGCGTGTGTGCTTGTGTGTGTGCAAAAAGATTCAAAAACTAAACAAAATACCTCTCTCTCTCTCTCTCTCTCTCTCTCTCTCTCTCTCTCTCTCTCGTCATTTTCGACATACACAACCCCGCAAAAAAAGCATGACTGTGCCAGACTATTTCGTCGGACTTTCACCGACTCAACAGGAGGCTGAGTCGGTCTCTGAATGTGGGAGTATGTGTTTGAGTGTGTGTGTTTGTGCGTGTGTGTGTTTGAGTGTGTGTTTGTGCGTGTGTGTGTTTGTGCGTGTGTGTTTGAGTGTGCATATGTCATACCTGAGTGGATGTCGAGTCTATTGGAATCCGCCACACTTCCGAGTTGACAGTGAAGAGCAGTGCACTTCGCAATTCATCGAAATAGAGTTCCCCGAAGGTCTCAGCCGGCCTGTGAAGCATGTACTCAGCGACCATACGCAACGAATCGGCTGAGCTATTTGCTGGGCATCCAATCCCACTCACATCTCTGGCGCAGGACAGGACGGCGAAGACGACGAATGCGGCGAGAGCCGCCATTCTAAGGGGCGACCGCCCCATTGCCACTACCTTTCGATTACCCTACAAGCTCCTTCTCCTGTAGATGGACTCTGTCACCCGTTAAACAACTAGTACTCACCCCACTTCCACAACCCTCTCTATCAATGCCCTTACTATCTTTCACTCTCCTATTATATACCTGCTCGCCACCAACATGCACTTTCTGATTCCCCGACTTCGACGGCTTGCGCTCACCACTGCCTCTCTCCCCCCTCCGAGAATGGCGCGCAGTTCGACTCCGCACCCGCCGGAGAATGGCGCGCAGTTCGCCTCCGCACCCGCCGGAGAAGAAGCAAGTCGCAAAAAGGAAGGACGAAAAAAAAACACAAGTCCGCCTCAACAACCGCCGAGGTGCCACAAGAACGATCTGCCTCCCTTCCTTCTTCCCGCCTACAGTAGTCCTCCACTGAACAACTCCCGCGCTAAAATCGTTCCACAAGAAAGATCTTTCCCGCCTTTTCTTTCAGCCTACAAGCGCTCTCTCGCTGAGTGAAACCACCTACACATCTAGTGCCGCCGTCGATCGCATGAATCGAATGAACGGAATACGAGAAATCAATAAGATTGGATAGAAGATCAAATACACACTGAGGTGAGATCGAAGATATAAGACAGACGGCACGCGACGGTGACACACAAGTACCTTCCGCCTTTTCTCTTTTATTTACATGTTCTTCCTCTCTTCTCCCGCCGCTACTGTAGGCCCGCCGGGCCTCGCTCCAGTACTCTCGAAATGTGCAAAATAAGAGTGAATCTCCCGCTAGAACATGGAGAGATACACCGCCATGATTTTTGTCTTTTGTGCATGTGTTTGAGAGTAGTGGAGCGAGGCGCGTACCCTAGCTACCAGCGGCATTGTTGCACATTCGCGCTCCAGCTCAGCTGCAGCTGCAGCTGATACGCAAATCTTCCATCACGAGGATGGCGGGAAGAATAGCTCAGGATCTGTCTACGTAGGAGCGCGGCGATAGGTATCACTTTAGGGGCCTCGCTGCACTACACTTGAAACTTGAAGTACACTTGAAACTTGAAGTTTCAAGTGTGCATCACCGCTGCACTTGAAACTTCGCCGGCGGGCCTGGCTCCACTACTCTCCGCATGCACAAACAACCAAAATGAAGCAATGTATCTTGCCATGTTCTACGGGAAGATTCAGTCTCATTTTTTTGCAGATTCGTCCTCGGAGAGTGGCGGAGCGAGGCCCACGTCAAATGGAGAATCCCGCCAGAACTTGGAAATGCTTCACTTTGGGCCTCGCTCTGCCACACTCCATCAAGTATCTAGCGCTCATAATCGTCCGCATACATTGAAAACTGTATGCCTCCTCCGAATGCAACTGCGCGCCTCTCTGATCAGATGCATCTGGGAAAGTCCCGTGGTGAGTCTGCTCTATGGCCAGGTTCCTTTTTCTTTTTTTCTTTTTTTTTCTCTACGGCCAGGTTCTCGATTGCAGGATGACTACTGGAGACCTGACCGGGGCGGGGTTTCACTAGCAAAACGAATCGAATTAGGAGCCTGAATCTGGATAGGTTCTTGGCGCACATGCAGATAAGCAGATCAGTCACGGTTTTCTGCATCTGTTCTCATACACGTCCAGATTCAGGCATTTCAAGCCAATCCTCTTTGCTAAGTGGGACCTCGCCCCGGACTTGTGACACTGGGCAAGGTCCCACTTGCGCAAATTAGGAGATTTCGGCCGTCGATCTTTGCTATCTAAGGTCAGTATCTCTTAATTCGTGCAATTCGTGCAATTCGTGCAATTCGTGCAAGTGGGACCTAGCCCACTGTCGCGAGTGCCCTGAGAAAGGTGAGCAGATCCAAGATCCAAGATTTCCCGCGCTGAGAAGAGCCTGCGTTTCCTGGGGCAAGGTCCCACTTGCGCAACTTAGGAGATAACTTTGGCCGTTGATCTTTGCTATCTACGGTCAGTACCTCTCAAGTCGAGCAAGTGGGACCTAGCCCCTGCGCAGCGCTCGATTCACCGTTGTTTTACTACCCACCTACAACTACCGGTACCATAGCTACCTGTTGTTCCCCCCCCCTACTTCTTTCTCTTTTCAAAAAGAGAAGGGCGACGGCCATTTCATGTCATCGAGTTATCCAGGCCTACGTAGCTCAATCGGTTAGGCACGCAATCCCACTGGCCGCCTGTGGCACTCTCGGTGCCAACCAACTGAGATAGTCGGCCGCACAGGTGGAGGAGGGAGAGCGTCCGGGAACGTTCAGAGTTCGAAGGAACAGTTGTTCCTCTCGGCCGGTTTTAGGCCGAGGTCAGGCTGCATTAGGCCTGGGTACCTCTTAGGGTAGGATATCGGGGTAGGAAGGACTAGTGTAGGAATAGCTAGGAGACATGGCTGTGTAAAAAGAGTTGATAGGATACTGGAGGAGATTGGTGGGCGGATTTGCCAGAGGAATGAGAGAGTCTTGAACTGAGAGAGTCGGTAGCTAAGCCGGCTGATGCTGCCGGGATAACTCCGGGGGTTGAGTTGTGAGGTCCCCGGCCTCGAGATAAATGTGTTCTTTGGAATATAAATGAATGTGTTTCTTTTGAAAAAAAAAAAAAAGATAGCCACCTGGCTCCTACGCATGGCTCCCCGCCATCCCATCTGAGAATCTCGCGGCCAGAGTGACCACATTCAAAAAATACTTGAAACATAAACTAAACCCCAGCTACCGAAGTGGGACAAAAAAAAAAAAAAAAAAAGTGGCACATGGCCCCCTGAAGGGCATCGAACTTGAAGGGCTTCGGCCGGGGCTAGGTCCCACTTACACGAATTAAGCCATATTGACCGTGGATAGCACAGATCAACGGTCAGAATCTCTTAATCCGTGCAAGTGGGACCTTGTCCCCGGTGTATCTTCCTACCACGTCCACGTCCTGTGAGCAAATACATTCTTCATCTCCCCGCCATCCGATCTGAGAATCTCACGGCCGCAGTGACCACATTCAAAAAATGTTCGAAACATAAACTAAACCCCCACTACCGTCAGCACTGCCGAAGTGGGACATGGCCCCCTGGAAAGGCTTCGAAGGGCTTCGAAGGGTGTATCTTCCTACTGCGTCCTGTGAGCAAATACATTCTTCAGCTCCCCGCCATCCCTACTACGTCCTCTGAGCAAATTCATCCCAGCCATCCGATCTGAGAATCTCACGGCCACAATGACCACATTCAAAAAATACTCGAAACATAGACTAAACCCCCACTACCGAAGCGGGACATGGCCCCCTGGAAAGTCTTCGAAGGGCTTCGGCGGGTGTATCTTCCTACTACGTCCTCTGAGCAAATACATTCTTCATGTTGCACCTTCCCGTGACCAAACACATTCTTCATGTTGCACTTGCACCTTCTGTTTGTTCACAGTAAAATACGGTGGAGTCACACAGTAAGTTCAGAATGGCCAACTTTTTTCTTCGTTTTTTTTTTTTTTTTTTTTTGGGAATAGGCAACTTTAGCAGTTCCCGAAAGTTAATGGAGCATCCAGCGGCCTAGCTCAGTTGGTAAGGCACGCAAGTGGCATTCAGGAGGTCTTGGGTTCAATCCCCATTGGCCTCACGCAAGCTTGGCGCCCAGCACCTAGAGATATGCCGTTGGTCCCCCCGAGTGGCATTGAGCAGAGACTGCTGATGTTCATAGGGGGAGGGGACCGGAGGGGAGGCACAGTGACTGGCCCATCGAAGAAGCTCGGTCCTGATACTACCGGCTGACCCCTGGCCGCTATCGCCCTGCTACCCTGATGCTACCGGCTGACCCCTGGCACCCTGGCACCTGCTGGTGGGTGCATGTTCCCTCGTTGAAGGCTTGAGCACGGATGCCCCGTAATACTATAATGACAATAAAAAAAGGCCTGAAAGGCTGTCCTGTCCATTGGTTGGGCTTCAAAGAATTAGCCTTTCAAAAAAAAAAAAAAAAAAAAAAAAGGTAATGGAGCGATAAAGCTGGGAAAAAAATAAATAAATAATGGAGGAAAAAAGGTGACCCCCATAAATCTGCCAAGGGCCACTGCAGGTAATGAATGACTAGTGCAGTTTTAGACCCCCACTAAATTAAAACTTGGACTTTTCGAAACTCACACCATGACACTGGCACCACTTTGTCTTTTCTTTTTTTTCTTTTTTTTTTCTTTTTTTTTTTCTTTTTTTTTGCCTATTTCAAATCAAAGTAAAAGTGTGTCTCAGCCACAGTTTCCCCTTTTTTGGGTTTTTTAAACCATGATTGACCTGACTGGTCCCAGGTAATTCACAATGATTTTATTTTACTCATCTGATAGTATCTCATCAGGATTTGGACTTGAGCCTGTACTGCAAAAAAAAAATAATAATAATAATAAAAGGGGGGGGATCAAGTTTTGATAAGGAAGGTCCAGATGGTTCTGTCTAGACTGAACCCCCAACATGACTGCCAGCGCTGCCCAGCGCCACCTTGACCCTGAATTTGCGACTTTCATACATGGACATGTACATACACTGGACAATGAAGTCTTATTTGTGCCGTCACAAATTCGCCATTGACAGCACAAGGCATCATCTGTTTCCAGCGAAGCCACGAGCTACAGGCGGAAGGAGGTGCCGAGGCCAACAACAGTCATTAGATGTCCTACTAGAGAAGTGGCCTCCTACTTGGGGACCATTATAAGACTTTTCTGTGGATTTTTTCAGGGTGCATTTGAGAGGAACCGAGTCCTGTAGTATAGCGATCTCAATTGCAATTGTCTTTCGAGACTGAGGGCTTACACATGGTGTCAAGGACCCTGTCGCTGGCCACGCCATCACCAGCAGAGGACACCAGGCATGGCGTCTTCTCATCGTTGACTAACTTGAAGGAAAGGCCCAGTTGCACCACTCCCCATCCAACAAGATTTTGAATGCATCTGGACATGGGCAAAGCCATGTCCAGATGCATTCAGATTCATTCAAAATGTTTGGGACCACAAGTGGTGCAACCAGGCCCTGTTGGAAGACTTTTCTGTAGACCTTTTTTATGAAGCAAGAATAGACTAAGTCTTTTGTACAGGGATCTCAACTGTCTTGTCAGACTCGGGGCTTACAGAAGCTGTCTAGTCACTGGGACAGACCCTCTCACTGGCCAGGCTATCACCAGCAGAGGACAGGTAGGCATAAAAGCTGTTGGCTGCTGATAGGACTAGAGTCCAGTTTTTCCCTCTTGGGGAGCCCTGCCATTTTTTTTTATTTTTTTTTTCTCCCTGCCACTTTTGTGCGTGCATGTACACATAGAAAAGGCGTCAGCTCGGTTTTTGGGTCTCCGGTAGGCTTGAGCTTTTGGATTTGGGTCAGTGGGACTTGGGGTGAGTGGGACTACGCATTCAAAGCGATCGGTAGGCTTAATATTTTGGCGCTGAGAATTGGGTGTCTAGCATCTAGACCTTTGGGCCACCAGGTTTTGTCCAGGTCCATTTTGCCCTCGACCCAGACGACAGGATGGTTTTGACCTCCGGAATTGATTAACTTTTTTTATCAGGAACATGGCAATTGCTTATCGGCCTATTCCTGCATTTATTTGCACTGAATTACTCGAACCCTGTGATCAAGAGTGATTATTTCAATTTATTTGCATTGACTTACTCTAGAGTCTAAACTTGTCTTCTGTATGGGGAGACAAGCGGCTAGACTGGAAAAGCACAGTTTTATTGCATCATTGCATTCAAAGCTGGGAACATCCCAACTCTTT